TATGGGACAAATAGATATTTATTTTTATAACTTTTATAGAATAGGTCATTCAAATTAATATGGTTCAAGATAAATCTTTTATCTTGCACCATATTCATTTGAAACTATCTAACTTTTTCAATTTATGTTACTTAATTACTAATTAATTGAATGTTTTTTGCCTATATAAAAACTTATTTAGAGTGGATGAAAATATAAAATAATGTGCTAATAGCTAAATGTATTTGGGTTCTTTTTCTCTCTTTCAATTTATATATTTATAAAAAAAAACTTTCTTGATTTGGTTGGTTACTGATGTTTTTTTTTCTTTCTTTTTTTTATGTCTTTTTAGCTATATGATAGTGCATGAAAAATAGAAAAGAATATACAAATATGTAAATCTATATAAAAAAATTCCTGTCTTTAAATTTATATATTTATAAAAGTTTTTTTTATTCATTTGGCTTTTTACACTTTCTTCTCTTCTCTTTTTGTTTTAGTTGTCTAGAATGCATGGAAATGAAAATCAATATAGAAATAGATAAAACTATCTAGGTTCTTTATTTCTTTTAATTTATATATTTTGATTTTAGTTATATGATAGTGTATGAAAAATATAAAAGAATGTGCAAATAGGTAAATCTATCTAAATTAACTATTTACTTTTTCAATTTATATATTTATAAAAGTTTTTTTTATTCATTTGGTTTTTCATATTTTCTTCTCTTTTTCTTTTTGTTTTAGTTGTCTACAATTCATGAAAATAAAAATGAATGTAGAAATAGATAAAACTATTTAAGTTATTTTATTTCTTTCAACTTATATATGTGGATATAAAAAGAAACACACATAACAAACTAAATTTTTCATTACGTTAAAATTTGGCTTTTCAGCATCAAAACCATAAAAAAAAATTATTTCTAAAATGTACAGACTTTTTACTCCTTAAAACCCTATATAAAAGTTAACTAACTTTTGGATGAAACTGATTTTTTATCATTTATAAAATTATTTTGTGTTTTGTGATTTATTTTGTTAAACATTTATTCATCATAAACGTATCCATGAATGTTTTTCGATATATAAAAAGTTAATTATATTTTATATATCAAAATGTACATTTCAGATTTTAATATTTCAAAAAGATTAAAAAAAAACATCAAAATATTTTCTATAAAAATCAACTAAATCACAACGACTAGATTAATGCTCAAATTTTAGACATTTGATGTTGAAGTTGGTAAGTTAATCAGTTTGCAACAATCAATTGGTTATCATCACTATCTAATATAATAACATTTTAATGTAAGATAAACATTCATAAAAAAATATTGATAAATCAAAGAAACCAAGTATATATATATATATATATATATATATATATATTATATATATATATATATATATATATAATCATATAATCTTGATTTTTATCCTTATATAGTTCAAGATAAATTCATATATTGAACCTTATTCATTAGAAACTATCTTAATTTTTCAACTCATCTATTAAATAGTACAACACAAAAAGTTTGTAACTAATAATATTTAAATAGTGAATTAACTATGATGTTAAATTTAGTATTGTTAGTTTTATTGTTATTTTTACTTATTTATATTCCAATATATAATAAATAAGATCAAGTAATATGATTCTAGTTAAATAATTATATTTTTATCATAAGAATTTGATATTTTTATTCATTAACTCCAACAAAGCATTTGAGTTATTTGGTACTCTTTTTTTATTTATATTTAATAATTAACGTACTAATATATTATAAACTATAATAAAGAAAAACAAAGAAACAAATATATAGATTTTATTAAAAATTATTATTTGTTATATAACAAGTTAATATTGTTTTAAGTAATTCATACAATATAACATATAACATATTTTTATTATCTTTTAACTTTTTTTCTTTAAAATCATAATGTTAATCATTCGTAAAATACTGTAATATACTATTTATCATAAATATAGTTTTATTTATATAAGATTTTTGTTATATTAAATGTTTAATTTATGATACTTCTCAATGTAACATGTTAATCAATTAAACTACTAATGAATAAATATAGCGAAACATATAATTATTTATATTTTTTATTATTTATCACTAAAAATTATTTATGTAATTCTTATTATTGTGACCTTTTTCATCTTCAACCATTATAATTTACTTTTTGTAAATATATAGAACGTCTTATAAATTTAATTATGATACTAACATTTTAATTTCTAACTTATAGTACTTAATTTTTTTAGTTTAAATATGGTGCTAAATGTCAAATCTTGAGACTATTTTCTAAAATAAATAGTTTTTTTTCTCAAAATGAAGTCCTTATTTAAATAATAACATGAATACTTGAATTAAACACTAAATCATAATTTAACTTTAACAAAAGACTATATAAAACTGAAAGTTACATTATATTTAGAAAAAATCATTTAAAAAATCTATAATTATCAAAATTGAAAATGTTTAAAGTAATACTACCTTCGTATAACATATTTATTGTCTATTTTTGACTTTTTAAGTTTTATTTTTAACACCTTAAATATTTTTATTTATGGTATAAATTAGTGCATAAAACTTATAACAATGAGAAGACAATTAAAATAGAAGTCATTCATATATTTTGCATCAAGTATTATATATCTAAAACAAAAATATTTAAAGTCAAAAGTTGAAAAATAAAAATTTTAAAAGTTAAAAGTAGACAATTAATACGGGATGGATGGAATAGTTTTTAAATCATTGACGTGAAACCCATATATATTTATTATATCGTTAATACAAATACTTTAAATTTTCAATTTCATCATTTTAACAATAGGTATATCTTTTATCATATGGTCCGATTGAAATGTAATTTTTATAAACTTTTATTTTAGTATAAGAATAATTATCATAACTAATAGCAATAAATTAGTTACTTTTGTAATATATATATATATATATATATATATATATATATATATAATATATATATATATATATATATATATATATATATATATATATATATATATATATATCAGTATTACTCATGTGTAAAGTGTGGGCATTCGCCTAGTTTTTAGAATAAAATAGTTTATTAAATTTAGTTACCATGATAATGTGGAATCAGTTTTCCCTTTAGTGCATTTTTGTGTCATATTTCTTATTATACCTCGGTTAAGAAACAAAATTGAAGTAAAAGCAATTAGTTATAATTAAAAAGGCTAACGTATTTCTTATATCATTGTTTAAGATAAGAAACAACACTCAAGAGAAAAAAAAACATCTACAATTAGAGAGGCTAAAATCTTTTCTTTTATATCACTATTAATTTTTTTGTGTTCTTGATAGTGATCGGTTTAGACATCGGTTACAACATTCAAAGAACTATCGTCTCTGCTTATAGGACCGATTTTGTAAAATTTGGACGGGTACCACCCGATGCCCACTCTTATTAATAAAAAAAATCAAATTAATCTCGTAAAAGTTAAAAGGTAACAATGTATTGTGATTATTACCATGAAAGCTTTTTGATATTTTCTACGTTTTAGGATACCTCACATCGAATTGAATATAAAATAATGATATTAAGATGACCTTATTGTATGGAAAACTTTGATATCTTTGTAAATTTCGGCTTATTTTTTACAACTTTGGAAAGTCTTAAGAAAAATCAGTTTTACCCGCTCATATAAAATACTTTTAATGGGCTTAAGTATGTAATTTGAGTTTTAACATTTATATAAAAGTTTTAATTTAGTTTTTTTGAACATTTATATAAATACCACGTTCAACTCAATTAATTGTTTAGTGATGATTTGAAAGAAGTTTACACGTATCACCTTACATTAGACTGTGGGAAACGATTTACAATGAACGTACAAATTTAATTATATTTTTATGTTTTAAACTATTATTTATATTAACTTTTAAATTTCAATATTTATAGAAGTTGAAACCACAAAATATAATCATTTGAAATTTTGAGATATAAAACATTTATTATGATAAAATGACCTTTAAAAAAAATTGTTGTTCAAAAATAATAATAATATGATATTTAATGAATATTAATATTAGACTTTGAAAGGTACATTATGATAAGATTGAGATTGAATGATAAGATAAATAAAATTAATGATAAGATATACAAATTAATGATATTATACAATAAAAGATGAAATGTTGTGTAAAGCAATGTTGGATGAATAGGAAAAAATATTAACCTAATATGATTAAAAATAAATTATTTATTTTAAACGATATTGATTTGGATAAAAAAAATTAAAATATATATAAAAATATAAATATAGAAATTCTAAATGAGTTATTTTGACACCTCACGCTACAATATAAAAACATTCTAATAGAAGCTGTTATGATTTATTATTATATATAAATATTTCGAATTAATTAATTACGATTAATGTATATGACTCATTTGTTTTTATTTGTTAAGAGTTTGATATTTTTTTACCACATAATTAGTTATGGTGGTACCAAAGAGTTTCTAGTCCTGCGGTATCTGGTGTTGCTCTCCCTCTTTGAAGTTGAGTGTTCAAGTCACACTCTGAATATAAGTGGAATAATTTAGAAATAGTTTAGTATATATTTTTGTATTTACCTTTTAAAATTAAAATTAGTTATTGTGGTATTATATTTGATCTTTTTCCTATTTACCCAACATTTTTATTTTATAGATGAAGAAAATTTATAAAAATAAATTTTCCTAACGAAAAAATATAGTGATAAAATTTTAATAACACGATGCACATTTCCACACACCACCGTAAATAACCCTAAAGCCAAAAGCCGTCATCGATTCTCCGAAATTCCTCGAAGTCCTCGTCACACGGTCCCAAATAGTCACCTGTGACGTGCGTCTCTGCGTCACTCCGTTGACGTTAAAGTCGTCTCTTTTTTCTCTCTCTAAACACACCATATAACCACCACATCTCCTCCTCGTCTCCTCCCTCTTCTTCACCTACTCTCTCCGTAAGCTGGTAATAAACCATGCAAACAACCCTCCCACACCAGACCAGCGGTGACGCCGAAACACCCAATGCCATCACCAGTAATGAGTCGATACCTGTGGTTCAACTGGTAGCGGAAAACCCCGTGATAGTGTTTGGGCAACGTGGCTGTTGCATGTGTCATGTCGTGAAGCTTTTGTTATTAGGGTTAGGGGTGAATCCCACAATCTCCGCCATGGATGAAGGAGATGCGGCTTCCGTGACAGTTCATTTATTGAAAATCTCCGGAGAAGATGATGGCAACCTGATAGAGTTTCCGGTGGTTTATGTGGGTGGGAAGTTTTTTGGTGGATTGGAGAGATTAATAGCAACACATATCACCGGCGAAATTGGTTCCGATGTTGAAGGATGCTAAAGCTCTTTGGCTTTGACTTTGAATTGGTCTTTTTTTAACTTTTTTTCTTAATTTTGGACTTCATTCTCCTTGTATTCATATTTCATATAAAGTACTTTTACATTGTCAAATAAAAGGTAGTATTAATCATAAGGATTAATCATAAAATTGTCGAGCATCAAACCGTGTTAGATGAAACCTTAAAAAAAAAAAGTAAATGTAACGATTTAGCCATTGAAACAGGTTGTATATATGCATTTAATTTAGGTTTGTTTGATAGTTATTCGTCGAATCAGACGCCTTATTGAGTTAGAAGCCCTCACTAGATATGTCGCTTGATGAAATCGTGTTGTTTAATTATATAGATAGGTTGTGCTAAATGATGAAAATTATTATTTTACCATTCTGGTTTTATGTTGGATTAAATTAATCTCATTGATAAAAATATAACATAATTATATAGAATGACCATTTTATCCTCCAGGTTAACATCAAATGAAATACGGGTATTCAAGCAAATCTATAATTAATAGAAACCATATAAAACATTAGAATGCTAATTACAACAAGAACCACTTTTGCAATGACATTCCCTGCTTGGAATTGCAATTGAAAATTGATAGAAAGTTAGTAGTCATCAAGAGTGGTATTCAATATTACATCCTCCAACAAGTTTGACATTCTTCAATATTGCATCCTCTAACAATAGATCAAAAAAGAGCTCCATTTTTTGCATTCCATGAATTATTACAAGAAAATTTGCAAGAAATGTTCATATGAAAGGTAAAAAGGATTACCAATTTTAGTGAAATGCAATCATCGAGCCATCTAATAGTTCGATCAAAAGAAGCTTTATTCCTCTTCATTTTAATTGAAGCATGGAATCCCTAAGTACAACAAAAAAAATCCATAAATAGGCAAACAATTATACCCGTTTGTTCAAACAAGGCATCCACTATTAACAAGTTAACAAATTAATCCTTACATTCACATGATAAAATTAAATTAACACAAACATATAAGCTACCTGAAAAAAGAAAAATAACTTTCATCAAATAACCTTGTAAAGCTTACATTTCACAATGATGCAGGGGAAGTCAATACACTTTACCATGTTCAGCTGAGGCTATGAGATTGTTATAGAATTGGATGGCAACTATCACAATGGAATTAAGACACGAGCTAACAACCGCAATAGTTGTATGTCCAACAACGAATTTGAAACAATAGATAACATAAATACAAGATCAAACATATGAAAGTGTTGTAATTTTAGAAATAAGGAAGGAAGATAGTAATATGCTCTAACAACTAACAATTCCGGGCACGATAGTAACACGTCCAAGGATTACAGTGGAAATAGTTTAAATTAATGAACAACAATTCTTAATGAAACAACCAAGGACTTTAGAGAACTAGTCAATCTTTTGTTCTTACAAAGAACCGCAGAAGCCATAAACACACACTTCTTCATCACTCACACATCGATTAGAAAAACAAGTGAAACCATACAGCAAAAATGAATCCTAATATATAAAACAAGAAATGATTAACACTCATATATATATATATATATATATATATATATATATATATATATATATATATATATATATATATTTCCATCGATATTTAAAATCCTAGAATAATACAATTGAGTAAAACACAACGGAAAATTGAAATAGAAATCAATCGAAACATGCCTGGATGGAACTATTTAGTAGCGCAAGAAGGGGCGACACCAGTGGATCCAGTGGCACAAAAATGAGGCAATAGCAGCAAAGGGTAGAGGAGGATGGTGTCGCTTGAGAAGGGGGAAGGAGTGGTTGAGGAATGTGATGGTTGTGGTTCTCGATTAGCGACCGACAAAGAATATAAGAGGCATGAATGATATCAGGACAAAAAGGGGTAATGTGTTCTATTTTACTCGTCAACGTAATTCTTGTGATGACCAAGTCAAAGGCGTGTGGACCGAGTAAGAGGCTTCAAGTAGTAGTATTAAATGCTTTGAATGTGACCGAGTCAGGTATTACTCTTACCTCTTACTGGACCAGTAAGAGGCTTATCAAATAAGGACATATCATTTTACATGTATAATGTGTCTCCACATGGTGCTGATGTGTCACCCAATTTGGAAAATACGACAGATTAACAGATAGAAAGGGTGTGAATAATTTCATTACCCTTCTTTTTGCATGATGACTAAGCAGGGTAGTCACTTCACTTTTACAAACATGCCTAATGAAAAAACCCTCTCTTTCTAACAGTCATAGGTTTACATTTTCTTTTGTTCATAAATTTAAATTAAAAGGGTTGTGAATACCAATAACTTCTTGCTCAAAAACCTTGTTATTTGCTTGTTTGTAGTTGTATTTGAAACATCCTAAAAATCATAGATAAAAATTTCATTTTTAATTCAACTCAAATCATCAAAGATTCATATCAAACTATCCAAAAGTATATCATAATAAAATAGTTATCAGAGTACAATTCCCAAAATCATGAAAATGCGGAAACATGGATGGATGCGCTGCGATCAAGCTGGGCCCTTCCCTTTCAAAATGGAAGTACCCGAAACATAAACTTAAACTGTAAGCACAAATCTTAGTGAGTTCCCCAAATACCACATGTCACACATAACATACATACATTATACACATTATGCTAAAACATGTAACGGGTCTATTTCACCCATAAGTCCCTTCCGAATCTTAGAGTCCCTTCCGACTCTCTGAGTCCCTTCCAAATCATTCGGTATCTTTTAATCGGTATGGGTCACCCCTACAGCTAAGCATACAGTCATACAAGCAAGAGTTACAAAGACAGCAAGCACATACAGGCATATCAGTAAGTGTCACACAAATCACTACTATCCTAATACATATTCCAGTGGGCCGACATTGGTGCCTTCGACCCACAACTACAGTGAGGTAAAGGTTTGTATCGATCGAATACACTTCAAGTATAAAGAACAAAAATAAGAAAACAAATAACAGAAAGTAAAATGACAGAGAGAGTTCTCCAAATTTTTCTTTCACCAAGAAAGAGTTTTTGTCTTCACCACGAAGACGGGTTGTCACAAAAACGATTGACACAAAGCCGAACTCTCTATATTAGGGTTTACCCTAATGTAGATTATATACTAATCTATACATATGAATCCCATGATTTAAGGGATTGTATCTTATCTATACTAAGAACCGATATTCATAACAAAGATACCGGATCTGATATCTATTATATACTTATCTATATCATTACCTAATATACAAACAATTACATAGAATAACTATACAATGCGTTGACACTGATAAGCTTGATACATTGGCGCTGATAGTAGGAAGACTCGACGATGACAGATAACTTGTACGAGTGTTTGACTCATCAGATCATAAGGTGTAACCTTACAATCTCCCCCTATATGATGATGTCAAAACTAATCTTCTTTGAATTCTTTAGCTCAAGCTCTCTGTACGCTTACCCTGAGAATATGATTGAAATTTATAAAAATTTTAAGTTCTTCAGCTTTTAATGAGTGTTCCCCATGAGAAGGTGAATGAATATAAAACTTCTTGCAATTTGTACGAGCTGTCAGCGTGTTAATCCGCTTGACTTCCCCTTTGATTGATAACATTTAGGAGTTACTTCATTTCTAGCTAGGTTCTCCCCTCTTTTTTACATCAGTAGAAAAATAAAACTAGAGAAGAAAATAATAGAATCTGAGTTGCAGCTTGTAGTTTAGATAGAGTGTGATGTCTCCTGATAGTGTGGGATAAAACTACCATTCACCAACATAGTATTGCAAGATCTCATCAGCGTGTGGTTTCATACGCTAAATCACTAATCACTTTTATTATAAGAAAAGGGCAAGAGTGGTATGATGCTTGTGATAAGCTGTGGTGTTTTAGCTTAACCACCGGCATAGATTTGTCAAGCTTTCATCAGCGTATGGTACATTACATTGAATCATAAAGCTTTAAAGAAGAGTATAAGGGCAAGAATGGGTTGGTGTGTGTGATAGCCTACAGTACAT